ACACCTAAAAGACACCTAATTCCTAGCTAATTTTTATTGATTTTTGGTGACTTGGGTCAGCTAGGTTTATAGACGTCTTGACATTAACAAGTGTCAAACTGTTAAAACTTCAAATCAATTATCATTATAATACGAAACTGATAAAGTATAAATTTTGTTATATACTTTACACAGCAATTTTACATTTTCCAAGCGTGATCGGTGGAACAACGATGGATGGTCGAGAAATGTGGTTCCACTGCTCGCGTATGTCGGATTGTGGAAAAGTGCTCTCAGAGAGCAGGTGTGTGAGTCGAGTGGCGAATAAATAGGCGGTCTGTTGTGATTGCAGCTTTTCGACGTTAAGATTTCCTTGCATTGTTGGGTGCACATTTTCTGCTGCACAGAGGCGGGGGTGCGTGTCGATGTTTGGCCATCGGAGTGTACGTATGTCTAAAACGCTATCACAACATGGTCTATTTGGTTTCTCGTTTTTCGATCTGGAGACAGCCATGTAGCTTGGTGGCTTCTTATGCTGGAACCTAGTACTGCATATTACCATGTTTCGGGCCCGGTCAAGTCGATCAACCTCAGTCCGTTATCGTACTTTTCGTCGTGTAGGCTGAATTTTCCGACAGTGGCGCCAAATATCCCTCCCTTGCTCACCTTGGCATTAAAATTCTTAGCACAATTTTGATATCGTCTTGGGGTCAGCGCTCATATGTACGCTCCAACTGCTCATAGAATAGATCCTTGGACGCCTCGTCCTTTTCTTCCGTCGGGGCAGGTCGCAGACGAGCGAGATGTTGAAGAATATCGCTTTGATGCGGATTGTGGCTAGACGTTCGTTCTCAGGGGCGAACGCCAGTACTCGGAGAGACTCCTACCAGGAATCCAACACCGAATTTGCGCTCCTTTACGTGGCAACTGTAGTAGACGTCGCAAGGCTTACGATTACCTTGCCTTGCCCCATCCATAGCATTTATAGGATGGCGGTGTTGTCAGTCTTTGTCTTCCCGAGGACATCAACCAGCCGGGCAGAGGCGCCTTCCCCATTGAGGGTCCGGATATTCCAGGTACATACCCTCAAATCATACCCCTTTATACGTTTTCCGTTGTCGTCATCAAAAAAAGGGGGTCTCATCCGAGGCTTTCTGAACTTTTTCATTGGGCGAAGTTTTACGCCTTCTCAATTTAGCTCGCTCCCAGACGGGTGTTTGGTTGCTACCAAGAGGATACGTTGATATAAATATCCGGACGTTGTGAGCTGCGATTTGAACCGTACGCACAAGAATCGCTTCTGACCACTCCCAGGTGAATGGCAGTGAAAAGTTCTCCACTTCTGCGCACGGAACCATCCTCACACAATTCACTCGATATATTAATTCAACTATTTTTTTTTTTAATATCAGTGTGTTTTTAGAAAATGTATTGGATGAGGAAGATTTGTTTGCTAAAATAACCCGCAAACACGATTTTTATTACTAATTTAGCATTGCCTATCACCACGTGATTTTTTGTTTTAAATTAGTCATAAGCCAATATAAATTCGTTGGTGAACGTCGCCGGCGAACTAATTGTTCACCAGAACGAGTCGGAAACGACGTCGTTACGAAGTCGTTTGGCAAATTGGGAATCTACTATTATATACGAACTCAGATATGTATACTTCCTAATGGTATTGCAAAATGTCCAATACCCAAATCCCTCATATGAGTTATTATCGGAATGGGGAATTGGGTATGCTCACTTCTGGCATCAGTGCAACAAGTGCTTTATCAAACATTCAATCTCACTATTCTGCTGACTTCGTTTTCCCCTTCCGATAACTTTTTCTTGCACAGCTTTGCACGCGCAGTCGCCCGCGTGATCTGGGCATCTCTACCAGGGATGTTGCGAATATTTGCATTCGCATTCATTATGCGAATGATTCGCATCATTTTATACACTCGCATTCGACATTCGCATTCGCATCAAATGATACGAATGTTTTGCGAATGCGAATGTGTACATGGGCAGAGAGTCCACTCTAAAATTGTTGAAATGGCTTTAACCCCACAACTCTGTGTTCTCTTGATAAATTATCTGTAAAGAAATTTGATCAAGATTTTTTTCAAGTAAAAGCTCCCATCGCATTCTGTGCCAATACTTATAAAATAAAAATCTCTACGATTTCCACAAGAGGGGAACTGATTTCCACATTAGTGGAACTAATTTCATTGTCACATATGAAAAATATGTATTTAAAAGCAAAAAAGCCTTTGACTGCCATAGCCGAGTAGGTATAGATGTCGGCTATAAATTCTGTGTGTCGCCGGTTCAAATGCCGGCACCTCCAGTATTTAAATGATAGAAATGATTTTTTAGTATACAAAATTTATAATTTTCATATGAAATTTCAATTTGTAAACGCTTGCTAATAGCATTTTCAATCTTGATAATTAATCAAGAAAAGAGCTTTTGATTTCTGTGTCTGCCTAACCAGTCTGCATACAATAACCGGCTTTTAGCTTCAGGCGCTAAACGGTTAAGTAGTATATCAAGCAACTTTGATGGGCCTTCAATAAGTACTGCTAAAAGTCTTATAAGCAACCTAGAAATAATTTTAGATCCCTCCAGCGAAAGCGAAGGATGGGATGTAGAATCTGGAGACTTTAAAAAATGTGAAATTAAAGCTTAATTGAAGGTCTATCTTAAAGAGAACCGAGCTCTCGATTGGTGGAAAACTGAACTAAAATACGACAATTTGAGCGATCCACCCGCCAGCATTCCAAGAGAGCAATTGTTCAGTGCAGCCGGCCTTATATACGAATCTCTAAGAAATCGCCTCATGGGAGAAAAGGCAGCAAAATTCCTGTTAAATATAATATGCCCCTTTTGAACTTTGACTACTAGATTGAAGCACTGTGTAGGTTAAGCACTCGTTCAATGTTCTAATAATTTTTAAGTAATAAAAACGATATAGCTTTTTTAATGTTATCTCTAACATTCGCATTCGCACATTCGCATTCCGAAAATTCGAATTCGCATTTGCGAATGTGAAAAATATGACATTCGAAACATCCCTAATCTCTACCCTATAGAACAGAATATACTCTCAACCAGGGTTGCCACTGACTAAACAAAATATTTACCAGCCATTTGAAAAAAAATTTACCACATCTGAAAAAATCGACCAATAACTTTTTTTTTAGCTTTTTTATTAAAAACTATAGTTTTGTTCTATTTCCATAGAAATTAAAAGTTTTTATTGAGGAACTTTTTATTTAACTATTGATATGGTATTTACGAAGGTTTCCTTCAACCAAAATCGAAAGTGGGGAAACACGGGCAACAACGAAACTTCATCATTTGAAAAAACTTAACTGGATTTATTATAGACAAATACAGCGACTCAACAAACCCCTTGGTGATTTTTCTTATAATCACAATGTTGTTCAGTTATTTTTTTCTTTTGCTATAGACAAATACAGTGATCAAAAACCCCTTTTTTGTTTTTTTTTTTTTTATATTCACAATGTTGCTCAAGTAATTTTTTTTGCTATTTTTGTTTGTATAAGAATATTGTTTGCGATTAAATCAAACCCATAAAAATCGAGGATTCAAGCTATATAAAACATTTAGAAAAAATACAAAAAATTTTGTCTAAATTTCGAGTTTTTTAATCTGAATTTTCCGGTATGCAGTTTTATAGTCGATGGAAGTTTAGTATAACGAACAATGTAGAAAGAAATTTATAATATAAAGATAACCACGAGAAATAAAGTGGAATGGAAAAGTTTTATTTGTTTTTCAAACTAAATATTTTAACAAAAATCTACCAAAATGAACAAAAATTTACCTTTTACCAATCCAAAGTTTTTCTACCAATTTTGGTAATAATTTACCAAAGTGGCAACACTGCTCTCAACCCTCTTTGGGTGCTGTATTACTATTTTCATGAATACACCTGTATGTGCATCATGCAAATTTGCGCATAACATACACTAGGCGACAAATGAAAGTGTAACGTAATATTCGCAATTATTTTCATGAAATTTTTTTGCACTAATTTGAATAGATATGCAGTTTTGAAGCTCATTCAATTTTATTCCAATGAAATGCAAGTTTCAACCGTCTAAAAATCGCGTTGGTTTTTGCGTCTCCCGCAGTTTATTTCAAAAGAAATTCACGCATATATGCAAAAAATTGCAAAAATCCGTCACAAAAAAAAAAAATGTCAAAAATCAAAATAAAATTCAATGGGCTACAAACCTGGCTTTTGAATAAAAAGTTGAAAATTTTAATGAATTTTTTTTGAATTTTTGTGAACTTTATATAAAGTATGGAACTTTGATGTATGTGCTTTATATTATAGAATGAACTATATTCTCATAAATAATTAACGCAAAAACTTTTTCATGAAAAAATAGTTAATATTATATTAGAACAAGGTGTACACTTTCATTTGTCGACTAGTGTACATATGTGTCTATGTATTATGCATTATAAGTTGAAAAGTTTGTATGTACTATCATGTACTAATGAAACGAATTTATTCACCTTCTCATCACCGATAAACAAATAAGTCAATTGTGCTGGTTAGTAATAGTGTAAAAAAGTATCCGATTATGTGAAGGACACATTGCTGTTGCACTCAAATGCTGAATACATACATAATATATACATAGTAAGTGGGTGGATCGCAAATCTTTGTGATGCATTATATGCTATGCGACTGCGATAAAGTGACTCTAGTTAGTGGAGTATTTGGGTCACGCGCCAGCCAAAGTAACGACATGCAATATTTGCCGTTTAACATGCAAATGTACCATCCTTTAAATTTCTATGACTGTGCTCTAGTAATTGTGGATTTAGATCCGTTTATCAGTCAGAGAGATAGCTATATAAGTATATACAGTAGGGTG